TTATATAGAGGCAAGAATGTTTGAAATAAAAATTCTTTAGTTTAATCATCTTTCTCGTTTTCTTTACAATTTTTTCTATTTAACGTTAAATGTTGCTGATGCATTCGTTGTAATGGATCCTCGTATCCGTTACAAACCTTTGGACTTTTAGAGGATTCAAGACTGGGTTTGTTATTTGCAATCATGTTACGTCCTTCAATTTAACAACTATAAGCTAAAACGCGCTGAAGAATATCGATTGCTTTACATTGGCTGTACTTTATTATAGAGCAGCACCTTTTAACTGAGTTTCAATGCATTTAACTTGATCGATGCGGTAAAAGAACTCTTTCGTTACCAATCTCACCTCTGAAATGCGTGAACGGCTCAGACTGGACCTCAGATGCGAGACCGAAATCAATCAACTTCGCTTCATCAGTGCGCATGTCCACTATGATATTCTCTGGCTTAATGTCGCGGTGTAGAACACCATTCTCCTCGCAGCTGATGTTGGCCCGCAGGATCTGGGCAAAGTACCGCCGCACTTCATTTTCTGTCAATGGTTGGTCCAGGTTATCTCGCTCGTGTATGACCTCAAACAGGTCCTTACAGTCTTGAGGTCTTTCCATGACGTATACATAGAATTCATCAGTGACGAGTACTTCGTATATTTCGATCACATGACGGTGACGTGCCTGGCGCTGAAAGTAAGCCTCGGATGGAATTTCGAAGCCATTCATCTGAAGCAAGAAAGGAGAGATAGGGAGTTATTTTGAATGAGTCATCAATTAATTCAAATCGAGACAGAAAAGCTTGGCTTAGAGATGAATTCCTGCTATTTTAGGGATAAGAAGGGATACTGATATTTGTAATTTAAAATAAAACAAAACAAACACGCTCCATTCATTTCTAATGATGACGTAAAGTTTACCAACCTTTTTAAATTCCTTGACTGAACTTTTCTGAACGAACTTAAGCGCCACCTGTTGAGATGGCAATAGATTGTTATTTTATTCCATCTTTTTTGTTAAAGGAAAAAGCTTCTTGCTTGAGGAATCTTAGTAATTTACGGTATCAGGCCCAAGACAAAATATAAGACGAAATTGCGCACTTTTTCTCTAATTTACTAATATTTTTCTTCGAAATTGCATCTGATTGGTTGAGAGGATGAAACGAGTTTTTCCCACCAATCACAGAGCAGAACCAAAACCACCTTGCACCGCGACACGTTATAAAAAATCGCCCATTAGACGCGGTGAGTATGCACCTTTAATCGAAAAAAAAAAACTGTATGCAGTATGAGATTAACTTACCGATAGGTTGTCGTTGATGCGTGTCGCAGAGATGACCAGACCGAACGCACCAGCTCCAAGTACTTTTCCAAGTTCATAATCCCTAAACTCAGCTAAAAAAAAATTCGCAAATTAGAATAAAACTGTGTTACAAATCATTGCGCAGCTATTAATTCAAATAAATCGTACAAGTAAAAAGTAAAAAAAAAAAACCACAAGAAGCCTAGCCTGCAGTGCAGGTGTCTTATTAGCGCAACTTAACGTTAAAAGCGCGCGATCGTTTATTCACCGGGCATGTTTAATTTGGAGTTAGAGTCGACGTTAGGGGAAGGGGCTCAAAAGACTGCACTCAACCCACTACCCTCACCTCCCCTTTTTTTTTTTTTCACTGTTCACCTGCTACAAAATTTCTTTCTCTCTCCAGCCTTCCACTTCTATTAACCGCCCCCCGGTTAGCTCAATGGATAGAGCGCTGGACTGTTGTGCGGGAGGTCGAGGGTTCGAGCCCCGGCCGGACCAACACTCAAGGTCCTAAAATAATTGAGAAGAATATGCTACCTTTCTATAACATCGAGAAATGGTTAGGGACGAATAAATGGAGGTCCCGTCTCCTGCAGGGTTAGGGGTAGGAGACGTTAATTTCCCACGCACGAGATTACTGTGCGATGGATGTCCTCCCCTGGGGTGGGATGGGTGGGTTAGTACATTAATTGTAAAGCGCTGTTGATCTGTCATTGTAAATAGCGGTCTATAAGAAATAAATTATTATTATTAAAATCAAAGATGACAGCCATAATTTTCGCTGAGAAAATACTGATTAAATATTCTTTCTGCTCTGCAGGCTACAACAAGCCGAAAGTTAAAGGGTAATTTTTCGGTATCTTGGTCGGAAAACATGTGAATAGTTCAAGTCTCTCTTACAAGAATCAAAACGCGGCACATATTCAGGGTCTTCTATAGTTGGGACAGTGGCCATATGTCTGCCTGCGGGAAGCGTCCGGCCGGTTAGTAAATAAACTCTTAAAGAAGGATTGACCAAGCTCATAAACTACATAATTTTTCAACATTTTAGCATACCTCGAAAAGCTGTTTCTTTTATGTATTCCGGTATAGGTATTTCAGAGAATTTCGGTTGATCATTCTCACTAGATTGACTGGACTCACTGGATAACGAACTGTCGCCTGACAACGTGAACCTCATCTCTGCATTTACCCAGTCAGGCTTCTGAAAAAATAAAAAAAATAAAAATAAAAAAAATTAAAAAAAAGAAAAGATTTGGTATAAGTCAATTCAGGTTTGTTGTAGAATAATGACGATTCCAAATGAGGAGCCCAAGAGACCGTGACACCTCCCTTTGAATTTAAAACAAAATCAGTGACTTCAGGGGGTATAGGGTACTTCTTTTTGCGGCCTTTATTCACCGGCTATGATTGTCGACCTGCCGGGAGCAAGTCCCATACTTTGTTACACAACTTCTGAGTATTAAGTAGGCAAGTGTTCTACTTCACGATTGCATCCTAATGTATTCTTCATTTTCCTGAATAATATCCTATCAAATTATCACTTATTGTTTATTCATTTCCACGATAAGAGAGCATTTTATGTCAGTGTTGTTTTGTCATCGAATATTATCCCTCTCGGCCTTTAATATCCATTTGAAACTGAATTCCTTTTTGCAAATTTTTGCTCTTGAGAGCAAAGTTTAATAGCATTTAATAATGTGTTGAGTTACCAGGGTACCTAAGAATGAGCTAAATGTGGTATCCTCGTGGAAAAAGTTATCGCGTCATGGCCTAAAAAAATTAAAAAATCAAAAATGCTTAAGAAATCCATTTTACCTCATAATCGACCGACAAAAAGCTGTCATAACTACTTTTCTCTTTGAGGAAGTTTTTGTCAGACTCACTCCAAATGCGTCTCAATTTATTTCTCGAGAAAAAAAGATTAAGAAGAAATGATTAAATTTTGAACGCGCTTTGTACATACGTCTTCGATGCCCTTTTTCTTACCTCTGGAATTTCGAAATTTCCAGTTTGTTTTTCTGTTCACTGGCCCAGCGCTGCGAAAAATAAGAAAAAGAAGTTTAAGATAAAGTAAGATGACAATCGATATATAGGAAAAACGGTGATAAAACATATGGAAACAAATTCACAAAGAATACCATTTCTAGTCGAGTTTCGGGTTGTTTTCTGTAATAGTAGTAGTTGGAGGGGGGATATATACCAGATATCTTTTTTATATTTCAATTGAATCAAACGTATTTCACTCACCTTTTTTTCTAAGCGTCTGCTTTTTGCAGGGGTACTTGATTTCATCTTCGATTTACGCTTTCTTTTCAAGCGAAAATCTTTCGACAGATTCGGATTTTGAATCACACTTTTCTTGGCGCGTGACTCCGCTCTGTTTGATTTGTATCCTCTTTCTTCAGTCATGATGCACTGATCCCAATTGATATACTTTGAATCCACTCAATACGGTAAGCGGATCAGTTTGAAGGGGACTCAAACACTGCCCACGGCAAGCGAATTTTTCCGAAATAGATTATTTGTATCTGGAACCATAGTTAGTAACTATGCTGAAACATCCAAAATAAAACAGTCCACGGTTTGTGACGTTTTTGTGATATCTTGCGCGCGCTAGTATTTAACAGCGCGCGCTAGAGGGCGGGCTAGGGCTAGAGGAGGGATTCGTATTTTCCCCAAGAATGCAATGAGAAAGAAACGTCCTACAGTGATAGTTCATTCTTTGATTTCGCTGTGTTATTTGCCCCTCTGAGTCCGTTGATTCCGTGGTAAGGATGGATGATTCAGAGCCGAACCAAGGGGAAACTGGTTACTAGCCTGATAGTCTTGACCCAATCTCTCACAACATCTGTCAAACAAGATGGCGGCTGTCGCAATCAGAGAGTGTGTCTCTTCGTAAAAACGCCGGTTAGGCAAACATCAGCACATTTGCCTCTCCCACAGGATTCAAAAATTATATGGCATTTTGTAACGTGATTAGTATTTGCACCTGGAATCGTTTTAATTCAAGTTTATTCCGTCACTTTGGTAAAAGTCGCGTGTCAGGCTGGAGGACGTTACATCATCAAGCATGTTGCGCACGTTTCGACTCAAGACAGACTTCTTCTGTAGAAAGTTGTGTCGTGCTTTCCAGACATATTTCTACATTGAACAAGAATTCTCTACGTTTCACTTGTCAAGGAGAACAGAAAGGAGGGCTAAACATAAATAATTGCGGCTTGCATTGCTCAAAGACGTGTTTACAAGAGAATGTTGTTCGTGCGACCCAACAAACCGAACAAGATCTGGACACAAAAATGAGAGAAGATAAAGAAAAAGCGGAAATTGTTTATTCATTGGACGAAAATTCTTCAGGAGAAAAAGCAAGAATTCAAGAAAGTTTAGACGACGCGTCTCTGCGCTCGAGTTGTAGCGAATTAAGCGAACGTTCCACTGGTGATACGGAAACTTGCTCAACTGAAGACAGTTCGTCCCCATCCTCAACTCCTCTTACAGCAGGTTTGTAAATGCTTTGTAAAACCTGAAAAGCAGTATCATGCATGGGGATCAGTTATTGAATAACCCTTAAGTAAAGTCAATGAACACTGTGTAGCAGTTACCGCATGGTGCTTGTCTAGGGGAATAACTGTTATGTAATCAGATCGTAATGACAACCAATCATATGATGGGTCTGATAAATGGTCCACATTTGAGCTAAAGCTAAGGACAAACTAGAAATTCTTACATGAATATCATGCTGAATTTGATCCTCAATGAAAATTACAAGTTCAATATTGCCAATTTCCAAATGGCCTCTGGCCTCTTTTTCAAAGGGAGTCCTGGTGCTCATCCTTTCATATGATTACAAATTCTCATTCACATGCAAATTGAACTCATTTTCACAAGAATGGTTGAGCAAGGTAATTAAAAAACAGCCTATAAACTTGTAATTTGTGTGAATGTCAGTTGTGATTTTCCCACTGATCACAGAATGCTGCTCTCCACATTTGTTCCCAGGCTTCATTTTGATACTTCGCACAGTACAGTCACACAGCTTAATTATCTGACTGACACTTGTCTGCTGTTTCATAGAGACAAGTAAACAACATTTCACTGTTGGGCAATAATCTGGTGAATGCTTACAAAATGGACAGCATACATGAAAATTTATTTTTATGCAGATCACCCTCAACAGTGCATTAGGCACACCTGGTGATTTTTGCTGATGGCCACTGAAAGTCAAATTCAATCCCTAGAGTTTCTGCAGTATATCCTACTGGCCAACCACATGCATGAAACCAGTGCTTCCTTCATGCAGTACAAAGTGGAATGTCAAGTTTAACTTAGTCAATTGGAGATGCACCAATTAATGTTGGTATCTTAGCAACTACACACCTACCCCTCCCTAATCTAATTATCCAATGATAACATGTCTGGGTTAATGTTGGATTAGGGGAGGGGTGGGTGAGCAGTTTCTCAGATCCTGACATTCATCCAGATGCAGTAACACTCATGGAATGAAGATGATGATCAAAGCTCTCTGATTCTGTGTTCAATTCTTGTAGTAACAATTTTTTATTTATTTTATTTTCTGTGACAGAAACCGTGGATAAATTCTTAGTCAACTTCTTTGATGACATGCAGGTTAAAAGAGCTGCCCGTGAAAATGGTTTATCAAGTAGGGACTCGAATTGACTTTTCATCTTGTTTATTTTTTTAAGGTCTTGTTATTGTTCCATACTGTTAGTAAAGTTGTTTTGAGGTCACATAGCTTTTCTATCACTTAGACCATCTCACTGACAAGCTTTCCTGTTCTGATAACCTGTTTGCAAGATAATATAACGGAATCTTAATGAGAAGTTACAAGTTAATCACTTCTGGAAGTTAAATGGTTAAAATAGCTATTAAGGATGACAGCACAAAGAGGGGAGGGCATGACAAGGGTATGACTTGGCCGGGGGGTGGTGCTACTGGGGGATGATAGGACAACGAGATATATTAAGAGGGCAGTTATATTATTTGCCCTTGTCTGTGTATTCATTTACCATCAAACCGACACCGCGGAAATACGTTTTGGTGACGTCACAGTGGTCAGTGGTCATCAACATTAGGCTGCCAAGTGCTTCCATGTGTTTGTAGACTGAGTTCGATGAAAACATCGGCCTTTTGCATGGTGTTAAGTCGGAAAATATCCATGATACTTCTCCCTCTTTATTATGGTTGATCCTTTGAATGAGTTTTTAATACTAAAACCACGTCTTAACAAATAGCGGTACAGGGGAGTCATTTTGTTTGGAGTTTTGTGCTGTTTGCTGACTTTAGCTGGCCGTCGTTACGAAGTGCGATCGTGGTTCGTCAGTCGCCCTCGCCTTCAGAATTGTCAAAAACAGCGATAGTTATCCAGACAAAGCAAGAGATTAGTTCTGTAAGATAATTTTCCAGCGAGTCTGAAGACTGGTTGGATTTTTAAGTGTTATTAGCATGAAGCGATACACGTAATTATTGAGTTGTGAAAATATTCACACTCACTTTGCGCCGACGTGCGGTGCCTTTTCATTTTGGAAATCATTCGCTTGGTTGAGAATTTTACTTTTCTAGACTGATTTTTCGCCATTCCACCTTTCTGATTTTCTGTGCCTTTAAGAACGGGTGTCCGTAACGCTCGAAACGTCAGCTTTTGTAATCGTTACGGTTGCCAATTTACCATTTCAACTTTGTTGATATATCCAAATTAAAATATGAAAACATTTGTTCATTTCATATACTTGCAGTTTTATCAACAAGTTATCTCTCATGAACAGAATAACGCCTGACTTAAGCTCATATAATGGTGATGTTTACAAAGGGAGTGGAAATCGAAGAAATTGTGATTTGTTTGTATTTGAGACCGTCCAACATGATTGGTTCATTTACAATTTATCTTGAATTAAGTCTTTATTGATATTAATCGATTGTAGATCTCCATTACTTGTCTTTGGTACGTTTGCTTGTAC